TATATTTGGTTGTTAAATGTGTACTTTTCAAATTTTTATTCAACAGATTTTGGTAGTTAAAAACTGCTGCAAAATGAATTTAATGTTTTTTACAAACCACTACCACACTGAACCATACTTTAGTGTTTTTTATCATTATTTCGATTACACAAAAAATTAATAACAATACATTTTAAATAAACTACTCTAAACAGATTCAAGATTGTAAATAAATAATTAAATAATAAAATTAATTTTTTTATACATGTAATGAAATTAAAATGAACACATTTATGTCCACAATTTACACATTATATTAAGTATAAGATTCTAATTGTTGAGTCAGGCGAGACTACAGTAAAAAAAAACTAATGTCAAGTGTAGTAGAAAATCATCTAGTTAACAAATTAGGAAGGTTAAATTATATTTTAGTCCCTTAATTTATTTTTAAAGATTCAATTTAGTCTCATTATTTTTAAATGGTTCAATTTTGTCTTTTGAATTTTTAAAAATGTTCAATGGTATTCTTCCATTCAAATTGATATTAATTAATGATATTAATAAAATATGATGAAAGAGTAATGTTAAACATGGTTTAAAAATTAGATGACAAAATTAAATCATTTGAAGTGTTCAATTTGATTCCACAATTTTTAAAATATTCAATTTAGTTCTCTAATTTAAAAAAAAAATGTTCAATACCGTCATTTTATCTAATTTGATTAATGTTGTTAGTGTCAATTTAGAAGAAAGAACAACATTAAACATTTTAAAAAAATTAAAAGACTGAATTGAATCTTCTAAGAATAATGAAAAAATTAAAATTTAGAAGAACTAAAAATATAATATAGTAAAAATAAAACATTAATTTTGTTGGCAAACACAAAAAAACTTACTCGGCAAATCATGCTTCAGAATGAGCAATGAAGTTCTAATACAATCTTGTAATAAGGCATCCCAAAACCCAAAGAAGTCCTTGAGCCTACCAGCATTTATTCATATCGTTGGACCTGCCAACAAAGAAGTACTCGAGCCTACAATGAATGAACACACATCAATACAATACCCTGATAAACAATTAGATCAAGTCAGTGCAAATAAATTAAAACTATATATAACCCACTAATGCAAATGCCAACAATACATCATAGGAAGAACATATTGTCACGTGTTAATGCATTTTCTACACATACTGATGCACTACAAGAATGTTGGTTATTAGTATCGGCTTTTAACTGATTCTAACTTAAAAAAGCCGATTCTATCGTATAATTAGCGTTGGCTATGCGTCAACATAATGATCTTCACTAAATTTGTTGACACTAAATATATTATGTCGGCCTGACATGATGGATACCTCGTAGAGACGGCTAAACCGACTCTTAGTTGTTGTTAAAATATGTCAGGCTGCTTTTTTTAAATATTAAATAAATTTTGTTTAGTGTCATCCATAGACGTTAAATTACAATATTTTTAAAATTAAAATTAATTATTGTCTACATTGTCGATAGTAAATAATATTTTTTAAAAAATTTATATTTTTAGTGTTAACAAAGCCGATTCTAACATAATTTTTTTTATTATTATTTTATTGTCCGCTAAGTTGACACTTAAAGTTAGTTATGTTAGTTAGTTTAATTCTTAGAATAAGGTTTTTCCATCTTAGAACATTATTTTTAAGATCTTTATAGTATATGAATGCAAGTTTTGAAGAATTATTCTCGCTTCAGTTGAGATATAATTTGATTTTAGTGCATGTACATATGGGATGTTGTAGTTTGAGTGCGTAGCATTCTAAACATTACTATTAGCTACATGAAATTAAAGCACCAAAACTAATCAACTTCTGATTTCTTAATGGGATCATGCTTAGGAAAGCAAGGGGTGACATATTGAAGGAGCCAAGAGGAGTGAGCTAGACATGAAGGTTTGGGCCAGTCAAGGCCCAATGGGCCCGATAGGGCTTGAAAGGCCCAAGTTGAGCTTCTCATGGGCCATATCTTGTTTTAGCTATTTTCTTATATCTTGTATATACCATGTTAGTATAGGTTCTCTATATTTTCGGTCTTGTATTTTGGACCATATAGGATAACATTTTAGGCTATAGGCTTATTGGGCCTAGTTTTGGGCTTCATGGGCCTTTGAGCTTTTGGTACCCAATATTGGACTCATTTGCATTCTTGTAATTTTTCCTTTCCATTGTATTTGCTTGGCCATTGTATTTAGGCCAATAGATTAGGATTATTGAGGGATTACTTAAATAGGTTCATTAGGCTAAACTAGATTTAATTTAGAAGGCATTTAAGTTGAATTTGGGATCACATGGATGGTGCCACTTGTGGATGACCATGTGCTTAGCCAAATCAACCCTAAATGCTTCTTAAATCAAATTAAGATGCATGAGGGCACCTAGATCCACGGACATGCACATGGGAGTGAAGATTTGAATTCAAATTTCAAATTTGAATTCAAATCTTGGCGCCACATGTGGTGTTTGAATCTTGGCACCAAAATGCTTCCCTAGCCGAACCTATATATGCAAGATCCTTCACAACTTGTATTCACTTTTGAATGAATGAGAATTCTGAATTTTACTTCAGCCATATTCTCTCCAAGAGTCACCGAAACCTCACCCATTCTAGTTCTAGGAAAACCTCCATTCCTAGCCTTGAAAGTGAGCTTTCCTTTGGATCTTTAGCTTGGATGCTTCCATCCTTAGCTTAGGGATTCTCCTACCATTCCTTCCATCTTCTTCCATCTTTTAAACTGTAGCAAGCTCAAGGAAAAGGTCTTCAAATTCGGAGAAGGTCACAAGAAGCAAGAATC